CAGTGACTGAGCTTGTATGTCTCAGGGAAGTAAACATTTAAAAAGCTTGTGTTTGTTTCATGAAGAAGACTGTTGCAGTCTGTAGCATATTTTCAATTAATCAAAGTCAAAAGTTGAGAAATTTGCTTATTAGTCATGGGAAAAACAACTTTGCCTGGCTAATCTGCCTCTTACAGCCCACATTCCTTCCTTTTGTCAATTATACAGGATTTGTAACAGAATAGGACATCAAATGCTGTTCCTGTACACACCTGTGTATGCAGTATCTGCCTCGTGGGCGAACATTCTTATGTGCATCACTAAGTCTGCCCACATGGAGCCACTCGTGTAATCAGTGATATCAGACAGTGGGGGCACAAGGCTTCGTTCCCTTTGCCCATGCAGATAATCCCAGTGTCCTTGGCATATTCTTGTGCTGAATAACTCAACTAATAGTTATATGGAGCCGTAGGCCTTAATGTTTTTGATATTGTTTGTTGGTACCTTGTTTTTCTGTTTAACTTTTTAAAAGAAACCTAAACTGTGCTGATTTCTCTTTTTGTGCATTTTTATTATTCTAAGTCTTTGCATTGCTTATGAGGCTTTGGGCAACCTGGTCTAGCAGAATGTATCCCAGCCCGTGGCAGGAACTTTGGAGCTAGGTGATCTTTAAGGTCCTTTCCAACCTAAGCCATTTTGTGGGAGTACTTGTTGGAACTAGAATCATAGAATAGAATCATAGGTTTGAGTTGGAAGAGACCTTTAAGATCATCTAGTTCTGACCCTCCTATAGACAGGGGGCTATAGACAGGGACACCTCTCTCTAGACCAGCTTGCTCAAAGCCCCATCCAGCCTGGCCTTTAGTTAAATGATCCAAAGAGAAAATGCCTGTCTTTAGGTTGGAGAAGGTGCCAGGTGTTTGTTTGTTTGTTGTAGAAACAAGACAGCTAAGCAATTCTTGATAGCTTTTCCAGTTCTGGCAAGTATTGTGGTAGAACAGAATGAGAAGTTTGTTTTCCTACTACAGGTTATTACTGTACAGTAACCAAAAGGTGTTTTTGTGGAAGTTACCTGTCCATTAGAAGGACATGCCTGCCTTAGGCTGAAATGGTGTACCTTAAAAAATCTGGTGGAATTTGGGATCTTGTTTTCTGGAACAGTTCTTTCTATCTGCTAAGAGGTTGCACAAAGGAGTAATATATAAAAGCAGATGAACTCTTAAGCAAAACTGAGAGAGAGACAGCAGAAGTTCTCTTAAAACTCCCTCTGCTGTCTGATAGCATGTCTTCCTTCTTTGGCTAAGCAAACCCTGCAAACTGATTGTTGCTCTTGACTGTCAGACCGTGTACTCTTATCTCAAAGCTTTTGCTGATTTATTAATAGGGAAAGAGGAGGGTGATCAGATCCAAGGAACATAGTATTTTGCTCAGTGCATGTTTGGCTCGTCTGTAATTAATACACCTTGTATTGTTTGCAAATGTGGACCTGACATTGGAATCCGTGCTAATTCATGAATGCAGCTATATGCTCCGCTTCTCTCCCTTTCTTTTTCAGTGGACCAAAGCCAGGAGAGCAAATACTGGGCTGTGTGTGTGGAAATAGTCGTCATGAGAAAGCTGCCTTCACTGAGTGTAGGCTGTGGTACTGTAAGAGCAGAGTACCTCATCAGATGCTTGACATCAAACATCAATGTCTGCATACAGTTTTGAGTGGATTTAAGGTCAAATAAGTGGCCTCCTTAAGGCTTGGGAGACCACTTAAGGAGATGTTTAACTGTTTTTGGAATTGGTGAAGTCTCTAAGGCAGACATCATCACTCTTGGAGGAAATGCAGCAGGCACAAAACACACAAAGACAAAATTGCTCTTGAAACTTTCAGATTGAAGCTCAGTACAAATGAGCAACTATGGTGTGGTGAGCATCTCATTAGTTTGCCAGGTTGAATCCTAAATGTAAATGTTTGGAGAAGGATCAAATTTCTCTTAATGAGTTCTACTTATGCAGGGATTTTTATTTCCATCAGCATGCTTGAACACTGTTACCACTCCTCCTGCCCTGTTTTGCAGCCATATCCATGGATTTTTTTTAATTCAGCACAGACTATTGGGTGGGTCAGTGATGGACAGTACTGGGAGTTTTCTATTAGCTTGCCTGCAGTTGCATTAAAACACTCTGCCCTAATAAAATGTAAGAAAAGAGAATGCTTCCTTGTGTGACCTCTGGTTGCAAACATCTAGTGATCATTCTGTGATTGAAGAAATCTCTTTTCCTTTTTCTAAAAGGATCATCAACTTTCATAGATTAATTTCATAGCAGATACATGTTAAAATGTTATTTTGTAAGATTTTTCTTGTAGTCTGCCAAAACAAAATCCACATCCAATTTCTGTAGGATTCTGCTATTACATGTCCCATGATGGAGGGTAGCAAGTAGCTTGTTGCTTATCATCCTTGGGAAGACCCAGTTTTTATACTGTGATTGTTTTGGCACTTGGAACACAGAACAAAACTTTGCCCTTTCCTGATTTGGTGGTTGATTTCAAACGTATGTAAGTGCATACGATGTATGTAAGGCTAAATAAAAGCTAAAATAGCAATTGGTGTCACTCTCGGGGTAGTAGCAATGAGGAATTAGGCTCCTGGTCAGGGCTGATGGCTGCCAAAGCAGGGGCTGCCTGCTGATGTAAGCCAGCTTTGCTAGTGGGCTGCTGCTTTTGCACATTTAGCCAGGTAAGGATGCCTCTGTCAAACAACTTGGGTGGGAGACAGGCAACATAAATATGAAGAAGACCATGTGAGGGTCCAGCACTACTGTTGTGTAAATGTATGGTGGTGTAGATGCATCTGCCTAGGGCTCTGTGCTTGGGGCTGGTTCTTCATGGCACAGCCCCACTCTGCTGGGCGACGTGAGAAGACATCACAGGAAAAATGGGAGTGAGACCCACCAAATGGAAAGCAGGGAAAATCTTCAGCAGCTCCCATGAGCCAAGTCTGTTTTGATTATTAATAGTAATGAAACATTGCCTGTTAGTAGAGAAGCCCAACCACTTTCTAGTAATAAAATGATCAGGAAGTGGAAGTTGTCAAATAATACCTTTCTGGGTGAGTTCATTTTATTTGTTTTCATCCCCAGTGCATTGTGGCAAATGTTGAAGGACAGAGCCTTATTTTAGAGCAGTGCACATCTTTATAAGACCAGTTTTTACTGGAGGACTTTCAAAAACATTTAATTATTTTTTTTTGTCTATGGGAAGGTATTTAGGTAACAGCTGACATAAACCTAACTTGCACTGATATTTAAATGCTTAACTCACTGCACAGCAAAATTTGGACAACTTTAAAGAGTGTTACCTCACTGTTTTCATTTTTAACTCTCAAGCTAAGTAATTAGCTAAAGTATCCCAATTTCTGACAGAATAATTGATGCTTAGAGGGTTTTTCATTTTACATATCAAGGTTTTCATGAAGCCCTTGGGGATCCCAGCGTGGCTTTTTATATCGTATGCTCCAATTTCAAATGCAATGAAGTTTATGTTGAGAAGTTTTTAAGATGACATCAAAAATTCAACAGCAGCAACAAAAATAAGGAATCCAGAGAGACAGTTCTCAAGTGGTAAGAAGTTTGTGCTATATAAAACTCCATATTTCATGGGAGAACTAGAAATTAGCTTCATAAGAACTGAACTCAAAGCCTTTGCAAATTGGTAGAAAAGTGCCCAGTGATAACAATAAGCTTTGAATCAGAAGAAATGTATTTTTTTGCTTATTTTATTGAATGTATGACTTTATTCTTTCCCATGCAGGGTTCTAAAAGGTTCACATAGCTGCAGTATTGGTGTAAGGCTTAGGTCTGGAGGAGGGTGCACTTGTCCTTCTCTTCCCTGCAGCTCCCAGGTGGTGCTGCTAAACACCACAAACTGGTCCTGAGTGCTGGGTGCTTGTGCCTGATGTTCAAGTAGTAAGGCAAGATTGAGTCATGGGCAATGCAGAGTCTCTTCTTCAGGTGGCCCAAGCTTTCAGAAGCAGTGCTGCAGTTGAGGGAAGTGCCTTTTTGCAGTAGGACCCAATGCATGCAAGTTTCTTCCATGGAACAGCTGCAGATCCTAGGCTGAGTTTCTTCTTTGGAGTTTTGAATAAAATGGCAGGCAAGTAGATCAGGGCACCTGCATTTGCCACGGATTTCAGCTCATTGGCTTAGCCTAACAGTTGCTTTGTGCTGTCCTATGAGGAGGAGAGGGATTGCCTCTGCCTTGGCTGGTGGGGTGGAGGAAGGGTGCTGCCTTCCTGCTGGTGGCTTTAACTGGGAATTTAGAGCCAGTGGCACGGATGGAAACATGTATAGAGAGAAGGAAGCTGAAAGAAGTTGTGATGTGGGAATGATGCATTGGTTGCACAAAAAATACTGAAGTAACAAAGTGTGTTTTCCAGAGGTTGGTAGGGTAGGAAGTAAATTTTCAGTGGTTTCTGAGCAGTTTGGATGTGGAGTCTTTTGGCAGAAGACTGCTTGATACCAAACTGTGTTCTTGGTATGAGTGTAACTCGCGTGCTCTGGTTTTGTATGAAAATCACAGAGATTTTGAGGCTTGTTCTCGGCTTACACACTTCTCACTTCTGCTGATGGGCCTTATGGCTTTTAACAGCCATTTACACTATTGGAACCATTTTATAGTGAATTCTTTGGAGTGTCCCTCCACTTGTTCCTCTGCTGTTCAGTAGATCATGGAAGCTGAGCTTTCCATAGCAGAGGAGCTGTGACTGGAATTGTGCATTGAGGCATTGCACAGCACTGCTCTAGGAGCAGTGAGAAAGATTTTTATTTCGCTTGATTATTAAATCAATTTACCCCTTCCAGATTCACTATAAATTGTTCTGCTATGAATCTGAGCTTCAGAGAAGCCCATACTGATGCCATTGCATAGATCATTGCATTCTAATCTTGCATGTCTTTTGGCGAAGCTTTCTTTTATTAATTTTTATTTCCTTTCTTGCTGCAGTTTTTTTCTCCTTATTTTTCTATTGTAGGATCTGGAATTTCACCCCTTGAAGATGATGAAGATGCATATGCACGCAGTAGATATAAAGGTGAATGTTTTGCTTATGTGCCAATAAGGATCAGCTGGTTGCTGGGAGAAAGCTTTCTTCTTTTTTCATAGATTATAAAATCTTGCAGATCCAGCTCCATGTTGTTACTGCTTTTTTTTCCCCCCTCCATGGATTTGAGATCAAGGTTTACTTTTTACCTTTTTTTTTTTATTATTTTTTAAATGATGGAAGTTAGACAAGTCTCAGTCTCCACTCTTATGCACCTGAGTAAGTAACCCTTGCACTGCCTTGGCTCTTGGAAGTTCAAGTTTGCAAGATCATGAAAATCTATGAGGAGCTTCTCTTCTTTATTCTTCATACATTATAACAAAACCATCAATGATAGCTGACTCAAAGCTTGCGACCATTGATGGTAATGTGTAGAAGAACATGCAAGAGAACTTGATTTTCATGACTTTTTTCATAAAATTGTTCTCATTTTAAGCTAACTTGCTGTCTGTAATGCTAACTGTGATGAGAATGGAAAGAACATTTCCATTCTAAAACAGTTACCATAGCTGGAGGAAAGAGCGGATGGGCATGCATGTTTATAAAGCAAATTCAGGTTTTCTTCCACACTGCAGAAGATTTTGCTGCTCAGCGAGGCTGAGAAGCTTTTTGCCAGTTACTAGTAAATCTTCCAATTACTATGTCAGTTTCTTAAAGTCTGTCTCAGTAGCCCCCCTCGCCTGCCCAAATTCCTCAGAAACCCAAACAATACAGAAACATGGCATTTTTTGTCACTTTAAATGGCAAGTGTTGCTTTTTTTGTAAACTGATGGGTGAACGTGTTAGAATTGTTGTGTACTTGTTTTGATTACTTGAAAACAGAGGACTTGGTTTCGTGTTATTGATACCTTGCGGAGAAATAGTGGGCCTTAAGTAAGAGGTAAGTCATAAGGTAATGCAGACATCTATGAACAGTAATGATGCTATGATTATATTGCTATTTTCATAAAGTTCTCCTGTTCCTCCCTAAAATTTTCCTTTTAAACACATGCAGAAATGTTTCTCTAAAGCTTTATTTGTGTAAACTCATTCTTCTTTGCCTTTTAACATGTAACCCTCTGTGGACCCTTAGAAAAAGAATCCCAAAGATCATAAAGATAGATCAATGCCAATTAATGCCAGGGCAGGCAAGTAGTTAAAATGCGGATTCTGCATAAATTCCTTTTTTATGGTGATCCAACATGGATTATGTTAACGTCAGCCAAAATGTCACGAGGGTAAGTGAAACATAATGACTCATTCATACAGACACTAAAAACTACCCTGAGCTTGGAAACTCCACTGCCAAATGTTGAGGATCAAACAGTGTGAATGTAAGAGAATAAAGCATGGAGCAGAAAAGGCTCACTCTTCATTAGCATATTTATTTAAGTTGGTAGTGGGAGGGAAGGGGGTGGAGAAGGACAAAGCAGGGAAAAGCAGGCTAAGGAGCCATGTTCTGAGCTGCTCTTTGTATGTGCAGTTCAGCATTTCCATTATGGCCTATCGCTTGGTTAGTACAACTTCCCAGTAAGAAGTAGCTAAATTTGCTTAGCTTATGTTAACATATTTAAGCAGTGCTGTGTTTTTTCTTTGCCCCCGTGCACACTAAGCAGTGTGAGCAAGAACACAGATTCGTCCTTATTTTCATATGCAAACAAAGCATTGCTGTTTATGGGGAGGAACTGACCTCCTACCAAACCTCTTTGTCTTCGTCTGGATGTTTTTCAGCTTGCTCAGCTTTCCAGAGAGAGACATTGCTGAGACTTTCTGTGTCCGCAGTGTTTTCACAGTTTTCTCCTCCTTCCCTAACGAACCTTCCACTCTGGGGTACCCTTCAGTGCAACAGGGCATTTTGCATGCAGATTATGAAGGAAAACACACTGGTGTTTAAACAGCACTGAGAGGCTGAGGGAAATGATGCTCTAGAAAACGCTTTCATTCCTGCCACTTGGCAGGGCTGCCTTGGATCATATTTTACGAGGAAAACCTTCTTGAATACAGCAGTTCCTGTGTTCATCACTGCCCTAATGCCAACTGCTCTGAGATCCTGCTTCTTTACATTTTTTTCTCAAATCCTGTAAGGATGAAATCGTAGCCCCAACTGTAGGTAACACTGTAACATTGTGGTTTCAGCCATTTCTGCTTGCTGCCTTTTTTTGGAGGCTTCAAACACAATTGAGTCTTTGAAATATTTTACTACTAAGCAATAATGCAGGGTATTTTATTCACAGAATCATGGAAGGCTTTGGGTTCAAAGGAACCTTTAAGATGATCTAGTTCCAACCCCCCCTGCAATAGGCAGGGACAAGCTGCCACTCAAACAGATTGCCCAAATCCCCATCCAGTGTGGCTTTTAACACCTCCAGGTCTGGGGCAACCACTACCTCACTGGGCAACCTGTTCCAGTGTCTCATCATCTTCATAGTAAAGCATGTCTTCTTAATTACTAGTATCTAATGTCTACCCTCTTCCAGTTTGAAGCCATTTCCACTCATCCTGTAGCTGCCAGCCCTTCTTAAAAGTCCCTGCCCAGCTTTCCTGTAGGCCCCTTCAGGTACTGGCAGGCTGCTATGAGGTCTCCTTGGAGTCTTCTCTTCTCCAGGCTGTACAGCCCCAACTCTCCACAGCCTGTCCTCATAGGGGAGGTGCTCCAACCTTCTCTTCATCTTCATGGCACTCCTCTGGACCTGCTCCAACAACTCCATGTCCTTCTTGTGTTGGGAGCCCCAGAATGCTAAACCTGAATGCAGTACTCCAGGTGGGGTCTCACGAGAGCAGAGTAGAGGGACAGAACCACCTCCCTCAATCTGCTGGTCATGCTTCTCTTGATGCAACCCAGGACATGGTTGGCCTTCTGGGCAGCAGGTGCACATTGCCAGCTCATGTTGAGTCTTTCATCAACCAGTACCCCCAATTTTTTCTCCTTAGGGCTACTTTCAAGCCATTCTCCACCCAACCTGTATCTGGGCTTGGATCTTATCGCTAAGGAGCGGTGCAAGCTGTCTACCAAGCATAAAAACATTGCATCAGAACTAGTACCTAAAAACTCTAATCTCATTTGCTTGCACAGAGCCCCAGTGCAACTCCTGAAGAGATGCCTGAGAGACCTGTAACTTTTTCTATTTCCAAATTCTTCAAAAACAGGGCTGATCTTGTCCCAAGAGGGAGATGCATGACCTCTCCAGGCCCTAACCAACCCTAATATTCCTTAAATACTACATGTAGCTGCTTAGCCTTTGAAAAACAGTATGTGCCTTCACTTAAAAATAAACAGGCTTTGATGTAAAACTTTGTTGTATTGTTTGATGTGTGTTCAGGCACAAAAGCTTTTCAAGTTCACTGGGTTTGATTCAGTGATATCAGTGGTTCCAAACCCAGATTCTTGCCCCCTTCGCCTGCCTCACTGACTTTCTTCTAATCGCTTTCAGTTCTGGAGTAGGAATAATAATATTTTAGATCAAAGAGATGTTCCCTCTAAGCTCTTCAAGCTATCTGCATCCAAAAGCAGGTCTGTTTTTGTTTTTATTTCTAGCAGTACTGTTTGGTCTGATAAAAGATGTGTTACCTCTCCCTAGGAGCCTTGCTTTGTTTCTGTAGACCACCATAACTGCCAGAAAACTGCATCAAGATTTTTGTTGCTGTTTTCCAGTTTTCATTTTGTGCAGTAAATTGCATTTGTTAGCTGCTAGCCATTTTTTTTTTCTTTTTCTAAATATACAGGCAGCTGTCTACTTACAGCTGCAATGTTTCTAAGAAAAGCTCAGGCTATTTGCAATACCCAAAGCAGCTGATTTGCTTTTCTGGTTGGCCACCTGATTGCATTGCCAAGTGTACATCTTAATGCCCTTTATGAAGGAAATCAGTCGTGCTCGTTTGCACTTGATATCTGTAGGACACCTTAAGCATAAATATCATGATTTGCTCCAAATTGCCTTGCTGACTGGGATGAAAACAATCCTCCAGTTGTGTCCCTTCAACGCTGTTGGACAGGGCAATAGTCTGATAATGAGTCTGTGATGCCCATCCTCAAAGTGCTCTTTCTGTTTCTCCAGGGCTGACACAGCAAAATGTAGGTGGAAAATCCAGTTTCCTTTGGGAAAGTGCAAACAAGGCCTGGAGGCATTCTACGCTGAATACAAACTATTACAGACTG